GTTTACTCTGAATTTATATTAGTTCACACAAACACTCCACCCATGCTTTTGTTCCGGCCCTCCGGTCCAGTTTAAGAACCCATTGTGGCACTCGAGTCAAAAAGTTTGCCCACCCCTGTTCTAGTAGCTAGAATCAGGCAAGAAATTAGATTTTGATATGATTAAAAACATGTCAATTCATTAATCCATATTTCAATTCTTGCTATGTACTATATTAAAGAGGAGTAAAATTTAGAAAAAATCTGTTAAAAATATAGCCTATAAAAATGAAAACCTTTGAATAAGATTTGTTTCAAAACTGATACTTCACATTTAAAGTATCTGTTTAATTTGCAAATATTAGAATGTATAAGAAAAGTCCTAAGAAGTTATAAAATCAATGTTCTACCCAAACCCACCACTACCCCCTAATTTCACTCTATAGGTTTATCCAAGGGAAATGAAACTTCAAGAGGCTAAGGAGTTTTTCTAAGGTCACAAAATATTCAAGTTTATATACTGTCAAAATTATATGATTTTAATGTATATGTTATATGATAAAAATGTCACCATTTATTATTCTAGAAAATAAGTGTTTTTATATCTAATAGTTATCTAAAAATCATAAGCATGAAAAGCTTCAAAAAGCACAAACACAACAGATATATAACTAATCTACTTTCAGTTAAGGCTCAGCTTCCCCTTTTCTTTTATTTACAACTTTCATTATTTTAAACAGGCTCTCCACATCAAATTCTTACCTGTATGTTTTCGAGAATGAGTGATAAGAGAACTAGAGACAGCAAATGCCTTCCCACAAGTATCACACACATAAGGCTTTTCTCCAGTATGCCTACGAACATGATAGGTCAATGTGCTCGCTTGGGCAAATCTCTGTCCACACCTATCACAGACATATGGCTTCTCTCCACTATGCTTCCTATTAGTAAATAAATATAAAGTTATATGCTAATAAGTAAAACAATGTGGAGCATTTTTCATATAGTATTTTAGTTCATTTCATCTTAACAGACCAATTACATGAACCAATAGGTTCAATGGTTTGGTTGTTATCAAAATATCAGTTCTGAGACAGGTCAACAAGTTTTGCCATAATCTTTACATGGTTGTCAAGTGCGCCCCTAATTCTTCAGGCAATTATTTTTCCTTGTCCATTCACTCACTCTTCAAAACTCTTTCCTCAAACCTTCAGCACCTCCTCACCATCCTCACCCTTAGCTGATTTCTTTGCTTCCTATTCCACCGAGAAAAATTTAAGCAATCATAAAATTTCCACTATCACATCTCTCTACCTACAGAGATCTGTACCTATATAGTTTGCTTTCCTTCTTGTTAACTCTGAAGGTGACAGTTCAACTGAATCCAACTACACGAATTTGTATAGTTAAGATACTATCCCCCTGCATTTTCCTTCATGTTACATCATCCATTTTTCCTACCCCATCGGACTGCAGCATATAAATATACTGATGTCTCCCATCTTAAAAAAGACCCTTGACCTTACTTGCTCCTCCACTTTTCTCCCACGTATCAAAAACTTGAGTCTCCAACTGTTCTTTCATTTCTTCCCTACTGATCTCTCCTCTACTAGCCTCTACTACCACATTACTTTCGTCAGAAGCACTGACTGCTGACCTCTCACTTTCCTAGGTCCAAGTCAATTCTGTCTCATCTCCCTATCATCACAATATGACAAAGAAATCACTCCCCTCTGGAATAATTTTCTTCACCTGGATTCTGGGGCAACCCACTCTTCTGGTTTTTCTCTTATATTGGCTGGTCCCTCCTAGTCGCCTTTGCTAGTTCTTGTCCATCTTCCAGAACTCTTAGTGTGTCTCACAACGTCAGTCCTTTGATCCCTTTTCTATCCACATTCATTCTCTTGGCGACTTCATCCAGTGTTATGGCTTTAAATACTATCTATATGTTGATGACTCTCAAATTTATATCTTTAGATCAAACCCTGAATTCCAGACTTAGATAACCAACTGTATTGTATAGCTCCATTCAGATGTCTAATAGCCATCTAAAATTTAACATGTTCAGAATTCTACTCTAACAACTCCTGTACTCCTGCTTAACATCCTCTATCCACAAATTTTCTCTATTTCAGTTCATGGGAATTCCATCTTTTCAGTGGTCAGGCTCAAAACGTCAACATCATCTTCGATCTTTCTTCCTTCTTTCTTCTCTCCCCTCCTCCCAACTTCCCTTCCTTCCTTTCATGCCCCACATCCAATCTGCAGCAAATTCTGTTTGTCTCACATTTATAAATATATCCAGAATCTGACCACTGCTACCTCTAGCTGACCAGCATCATTCTCACTTGGGTTTTACCTAGAGCTTCCTAACTGGTAAATTTGCTTCTACTCTTGCAATCCTATAATCTTTTCCAAACACAGCAGCCAGAATGATCCGCTTAAACAGTAAGCAACATCACATCACTTACTTCTCAATCTCAAGAATAAAAGCTTTATAATGGCCTATAAAACTGTACACCATCTGGACACCTTAAAGCCATTCTGATCTTATTTCCCTCCAGTCACCACAGTTTCCTTGTGGTTCCTTGACTGTGCTAAGGATACTGTATGGTGGAGCCACCTTTAGAAGTTAACTGTATGACTTCTAATACAGCAGTCAATTCATAAGACTATGGTGAATGACAGACTCAAAGATCAAACGTTTTTTGGTTTTGTTTTTTACCTTGCATGAATCTTGAGATTGCTAGAAGTTGCAAATTGTAAATTGCACACATCACATTTATAGGGTTTTTCCTCACCATGATGCATGCGACTATGGAAGACTAGCTGGCATTTCTGAGCAAATCCTTTATCACACAATTCACATTTGTATGGCTTCTCACCTAAAAGAAGAAATAAATAATATCTATATTTAGAAAGAAATACTCTGTTTTAGTTGCTTAAATCATAAACTTTCAAGGGTCCAACAGAACTAGTTTCAGTATTCAGAAAATGTTAAATTGCTAGAAGTAAAAAAGCAAATAGGATCTCTTCTCCCAGATTTCTTAAAATCAACAGTAGAGTTAAAAGAGATTAGTGTTTCTTAATTCATAATAGTGAAAGGTGATCAATGAGAGAAATACACATTGCATCTGAAAAACTACAAATCTAAGTGTACCAATAAAGGAAAATGTAGATGCTGAGGAAGAAATATTGTGTAATGCTAATAAACGTTCAGAAGTTGACAAAGTCTAGGAAGCAGGTGGTGAGATGTGTTAGCAAAATCTGAGAATTGGCCTGAGTTGTAATTACTTTTTTCTCTTTATCAGTTTTAAAATCTTCGTATTAATACTTAGTAAGCTAAACCCAAATTTATGCTTATTTTAACTCTGAGGGAAAATAGTATAAAGAGCTCATGTATTAAGACTAGAGTATCAGTTACAATAAAATAAATAGCCATTAAATACTTGCTCACAATTACAAAGAAATTTTCAACACTTTAACATCCTAAATACTTTTATGAATTGAATACAAGTACGTATCAAATTTTAATCACAAATAGTCAACACTGTATATTAATGCCTTCTCTTTTAAAAGTTTTATTTCAGTTAGAGTATACAAACAATTATATCTCCCATAAATCATTCTTACCTGTATGAGTTCTTACATGTGTTTTCAGCTGGTTACACTGGGTAAATGCCTTTCCACACAAGTGGCAAACATAAGGTTTGACTCCTTTATGTATTCTCATGTGCCTTCTCAAGCTGCTGGCTTCTGAAAACACTTTCCCACATGTGTTACACATTGGCTTGGCCTTGGAATACCTCTGATCCAGCTCTTCCCCAGAGCTCTCCAGCTCATAAGAGTTCTTGACACTGGCTATATTGGACATAGAGTGTTCTTTCAGAGCACAGTTTGGCTGTGATTTTCCACGTTTCCGTTTCACTGTAACAGTTTGCACAATATCTTGGGCTGGAAAAGTATTTTCCACAACTGATGTCAACTCAAGTTCTGAATTATCATTTCTCTGTGCAACCTGTTCAATTACAGGTGTGGACAGTTTATTTGCATCTAGGAATAATTCAACAGATGTATTCTCTAAAATGCTGCTGGGATATTGCACTGTTTTACTCTGCCCTGTTTTCTGGGAGTTGAAGGCCTTCTTCTTCTTTTTAGTTTGAGATGACTTCTTTGCTAAAGCCCCTTGTTTAGGATTTGCCTGAACTAAATCTGTAGACACTTCTGATTTCTCCCGACTGTTATAATCTCGTAGAGTAAGAAGACAAGTCTGTTGATTCAATTCAATGTTTCCAGTAATACTAGATATCTCTGTAGAAGAGGGATTAGCAATAAAAGCAAAATCTTCCATCTTTATTTTACATTTAGTGACCACCTCTTCCACTTTGAGATAGTCAGCAGCCTGATGAATTTCTTTAACATTCCAACTGTAAGGAAACAAGGCTAAATGACAACATTCTGATCAAAGAAAAACTTTTTTTAAAAGAAAAACTGTTTTTGAAACAGAGTTGTGCATATATTTCAATGTCTTTTAAAGACCTAATGAAGCAGAATATGAGAAAGGCATAACTAAGAATGAATCTACAAAATTCATTCATTCACTCAGAGTAATGTTTAGGCAAAAATATCCAGCTTTACAGAACTGAAAAAGATGAAAAATAATGGTTATTCATAGCTATGTATGTACCGCTGCAGAAAAATAAAATGTCTACCTGTTTTAGAAATGTTTTCATTGATTTTAGAAAGAGAGAAGAAGGGAGAGGGAGCTAAAGAAACATCAATTGGCTGCCTCCTGCACACTCCTTAGTGGGGATGGAGCCTGCAACCTTGGAATCAAACCATGACCTCGGTGCATAGGATGACAATCAACCAACTGAGTCACACCGGCAAGGGCAAAATTTCTACCTATTTTAAAAAACACCTGGAACATAAAAGTAGCTGTTGGTAACTTCCTCCTCTCATTCATCCTGAGCCCTTTTCAGATAGCAACCAACTTCCCTGGATTGAAAATAGGAAGAGTCTTTAAAAAATTGTTTTCTATTAATCTTCCTCTGCTCTCCTCCTTCTGTGAGGGACTTTAATGGTGCTTTTCAAATTTTCCTATGCATGTGAACCACCAAGGGATCATTCAGATTCAGTATGTCTGTGGTGGGGCCTGAGTGTCTGCATTTCCTTTTTTTTAAGAGAGACACATTGATTGGTTGTCTCCCGAACACAGCGGAGCAGAGGATCAAACCTGCAACCAAGGTAGCACGCATCCTTGACCGGAAATTGAACCCACGGCCCTTTGGTAAGTAAGCTGATGCTCTAACCACTGAACAACTGGCCAGAGCATGAGTGTCTGCATTTCCAACACACTCTCTGGTGATGCCAATGCTGCTGGTCCATCCATCACACTTGGGTAAACACATTTTAGAATGTGCTCCCTTTGTAACCTGTCTACTTGTGTGTGTGTGTGTGTGTGTGTGTGTGTGAGAGAGAGAGAGAGAGAGAGAGAAAGAGAGAGAGAGAGAGAGATCAACCCAAGTTAGCTAGCAAGTTTGTCATATTAGAATTATCTAGAAAAACTTAAGTCACCTTGTTCATCATTCCAGTCAATTTTTACTCAGCACACCATGTGTGGTACTAAGAGGGATATGAAGAAATAGTCCCTGCCCTCCAGAAGTTTACAACGTAGTGAAAGGTCTGATTACTCTAGCACTGGCTCTGAAATTACTAGCTGAATTAATTACGATAAGTTAGTATCTTTGGGTGCCTCAATTTTCTCAGCTGTAAAATCAGAGTTGAGTTGATATTAACACTAAAAATTATTTGAGGACATGGACACACACACACACGCGTCCTTCAAGTAACCTTTCTACTTGCCATTTTCCCCAAATATTATTTAATTATACAAGAAAAAATAACTTTTTCCTATTCATTATGTGTGAGCCAGAAAAGGGTTTTAGTTATAGCTAATAATATAAATATAGCACTATTAATACATCTTTCTCAGTTCACTGAAAGTATACATACTACAGTATCTACAAATCTCTATCCATTTTCTCATAATCTAATTAAACATGCTTTGCCCTTCAAGTGCCACCTCTATGTTTCCTCTTTAAATTTAGCACTGCAATAGCTTTTTAAATTGTCTTTTATTATACACATATTCATTTTCAGCTAATTATAAACTAGATTTATAGGCTAGTTTGGAAACCTAGTCAACAGTTTAAGGAACATTTTATTCTCTAAGAAAATCCATCCCAAGTTCCTAAACATACTACAAATACACTTTTGGAACATAATCTGTTTGCATATTAAGTCTTTCCCCTAAATAAGAAAGCTTAGTCTTTTCTTATGGCCCTTGGCTATAATTTTGGAATATATATATATCACACACACACACACATACATACATACACACACACACACACACACACACACATATATATAGATATAAAATCAATAATCTTTGGAATCAAGTTAATACTCTATTTGCAATGATAAAGCACAAATGCCCCAGATATAAATATAATCATTGTCTTTTATAGAAAATGTTTTTTCCATGTATATAGTATTTTCATTTTCTAAAAACATTATGTTTCTCCTTAAGTATTTTTACTGATTTTGGTACATAATCTATTATTAAATTACAATAAATGGGAGACACCATTAGAATGAAAGCCAAATTTACTTTATCATTTTTTATACTTTGGTCTCATATTATAATTATGTTTAGTGCTCCATAAAATGAACCATCAAACAGATAACAAGGTCAGGTAATCTTAAAGACCAATATGAACTAGCATTGTGTCACTCATTAAAACTTAATTCATACAAATTATGTATCTATTTCATAGGTAGTCTATAATCTCATTACAGTTAAGAGAACCAATCAACACTTTTTATGTCAATAATTGATATGCTTTTGTTTCCAAGCATTAAGTTACAGTGCTTGAAAATCTGCTTTCACCTTTTGAACTGTCATTGAAAGTCATTTAATTACATATAGCAGGTATCTGGCTAAATGTTTTATATGAATAATTCATTTAATCCTCAGGACATGCCTATGAAATCCTATGTAGTAAAAGGGTAATATGCAAATAGACCAAACTGCAGAAGGAACGAAAAACCAATCAAAGTGTTATATGCTAATGATATGCTAAGGTTGCTCAACCGCTCGCTATGACGTGCACTGACCACCAGGGGCAGACAGTCAACTGGTAGACCAGTCACTATGATGTACACTAACCACCAGGGGGCAGATGCTCCAACTGGCAGGTTAGATTGCTGCTGGGGTCTGGCTGATTAGGCCAGACACACCCTGGAGCCCTCCCACAGTCCCTCCCCGGCCCAATCGTGCACCAGTGGGGTCTCTCAGCCTGGCCTGTGCCCTCTTGCAATCAAGGACCCCTTGGGGGGTGTCGGAGAGCCGGTTTCAGCCCAATCCTGCAGGCCACTCCCCTTGGGAGGGTGCCAGATGCAGGGCTCATGGATGGCAAGCGCTGAGCCTGTGGCAGGCACAGTGGGGCTGGGATGAGCGGGAGCTGCAGGTAGGAATTGCAGGTAGGAACTGCAGGTGGCGTGGGACTGCAGGTTTCGGCCTGATCCCTGCAGGCCACCAAGAGGGTCCCACCCGTGCATGAATTCGTGCACTGGTCCTCTAGTCTATTATAATATCCATTTTACATACAAATGAAGGGTCAAAGGTCCAAGGAAATTAAATAATTTTTCCAAGGTAAGTGTTAGAACTAAAATTTGATCAAGGTAATCTGGCTCCTGAGTTCACTTAATTCTCTGCTACTCTGTTTTCTCTTTCTTTGTGTTTAATGTTATTTTCTTTCTTAATTTATTTTTTAAATTAATAACTAGCATTCTAGATCTTAATTTAAAGGAGGGAGGGGAGAGGGAGGGGGAGAGGGGGAGAGGCAAAGAGAGAGAGGAAGAGAGAGAGAGAGACAGACAGACAGACAGACATCAGTCGACTCCCGAAACCTGGGTATGTGCCCTGACCAGTACTTGAACCTGCCACCTCTTGGCGTATAGGCTGATGCTCCAACTAACAGATCCACACTGGTCACTGCTATTTATTCTGTTTTTTTAATCACTAAGTTACACAGACTTTCTATTTTTGGTAAAGTCGTCTCTTACATTATGGCTGGGCGCAAACAATTAGCTCCTCGGGAAAGATATGCACCAAAAAGATTGACTGAACATCTGGCTTTTGTTTATGAAAGCGCAGTCAGATGCTCTTCAGTGTGTTCAGACCAACTCGATATTTTCCTGGCAAAGTTCACTGAGAAAGGGAAAACACTAAATTGAAGAGCAACCAAAATGCACTGGTTTTGTGGTTTATATTAAATATTCTGAATTTTTAATCAGAGGCACTTCTATAGTCAACTACTCAATAAATTTAAATAATTTATCATCAGATTAATGTATTACACAGCTGTTCCTTTATTCAACTCATACGGAACTGACTCAATGAATACACCATTTAAAAAATAATTCCAAAACGGCATGAATGTTTCTTTTTCAAAAGTATTAACGAACACCATGGTTCTAGCTTTTTAAAGAGATCCATTTCCACGATAAGGTGCAATATAAAAGAGAGGGAAGAATTTTGTTTAATGTGCATGTGCTTATATCTACAAAATCATCTGGAAAAGAAAAAATATTTTTCAAAATGTTAATGGTTATCAATAGGTGGCAGAATTTCAGGTGTTCCATTTTTTTCTTCTAATTTTTCTCCAAGAAATGTAGAATTAAAGTGGGAGAGGAAGGTAGAGAAGAGAAAACCAAGGAAACTAATGTTCACTGGGAGATAGGCCTTCAAGTAAATCCTTAATCTTCACAGTAATATCAAGGTAATTATTACCATTCTCATTTTTAGAGATGGGAAAACTGAGGCCCAGACAGGTTGCATCTTGCTCAAAGAGACATAGTGACTGACAGGCAAGATCTAATTCTAAAGCCCATAATCTTTCTATGTAAGAGATGGAGGAAAGACAAGAGTAATCTGGATTCTCCTTCTTTAAATCCGCTCCACCTTTTCCCCCACAAACTAACTGATATTAAGCTAATTGTGCAGATCATTACCTATCGTAGACACACAGTGCCTTCGTTAAGTCCTCAGTACCTTTCTCCTGTTGGTGCAGTGACAGCATTAAGCATATCAGAGAACCACTGGAGCACCTTGGACCTAACTGAAACATCAGTATTGATAACTTTACAAAGATAACAGGGCTCGCTGCCACTGAAGTTATTTTCCTGAATCAAGATCAGGAAGAGATCCTGCACACTGCTATTTATAGCTGGAAATGGGAGCAACTATTAAATGAACACAGAGGTTCTTCCTTCTTTCTCCAATCTATACTCCTTCACCTCAAACAACTTAAGAGGCAGGGGAAAGTGAGGGAGAGAGAAGACCAGAGGAACATAAAGACCAAAGAGCAGGGGGAAACTAGAATTCACTGTGTTTAATCTTCAAATCTACATAACTGAAATCACCGGCTTTGTTTCAGTAGGTAAATCAAATATGTCAGAAACAAGGCTTTTAATCACATTCACATCCGTGCTTAAAAAAATGTGGTCTGTTCACCAAAATCAGTGCTACTGACTTCTTTGAAAAACAAACAGAAAACAACAACATTGTGCACATCAATATTTGAAGACTCCAAGTTCAGGGACTGAATGTAACAAATACAAATCTACTTTTCTTCCTAAGACTACCCATTAGCTTTTATAAGTGAAGAAAAAAAGCAATGTGTACTTTACCTGTCAAGGTTTAAAGTTCCTGTGTATATAAACTCCAACAGTTTCTTAAATCCATCTGCCTTCACCTGACTCTGATCCAGAAAGACGTTGTTGTCGGAAGTGCTTCTGTAGATGGCACCGAAATACTCACTGAACGAGGCCAGCACATTCCTGTGAGCTTTAAACTGGAATTCCCCAATCACGACGGTGCAGTCACAGAGAAAGCCTGCTTCCCGCTGTTTGTTCAGCCTCTCCAAAAGGTGCTCACAGTGGTGCGAATACTGCATTTTGAGATCAGAGTGGAACTTTATTTACCCTTGTTCTAAAAGACAAAAAGAAATGGCAAGTCAGTAATCCTAAGTTTTCCTCAAACGTGTCACCCAAGCAATTGGTAAGGGGAGAAGGGGTGTAGGACCTAACATGAACGGGAATAAAGTCGGTTCTCATTTTATCCTCCACGCCCCCCGCCCCCAACCCGAAAATGCTTATCAAACAGATACGGTCAAAATGCTCAGGGGTGAGTCCCTTCCATCTCTGTTCCACCTTGGCCAGCTAACACCGTCCTTTGAACACGTCAATAAATGACAATGGTTGGAAAAGGCTCCCTGGAGCTGAAGAAGCAGCACCACAAAACTTCTCGCCTTCCGGTTTGGCTCAGTGGATAGAGCGAAGGCCTGCGGACTCAAGGGTCCCGGGTTCGAGTCCGGTCAAGGGCATGTACCTTGGTTGCGGGCACATCCCCAGTGGGGGGTGTGCAGGAGGCAGCTGATCGATGTTTCTCTCTCATCGATGTTTCTACCTCTCTATCCCTCTCCCTTCCTCTCTGTAAAAAATCAATAAAATATATTTAAAAACAAACAAACAACTTCTCGCCTTTGTACCAGCGGAACCTTCAAACTTTTAAGCTCGGGAGGCGGACCTATGTTAAGAAAAAAACAAAAAACAACTAACCAGTGAGACCTGATTCCTTGGGACAGAAGCGGAAAAGACCGGTAGGAGTCCCTTGTAACTGCCCCCACACCCCGAAGCCCGTTAGCCTCCGCGGTGCACACAGCGGCTCCGAGACGCGAGCCGGGTGCCCCGGGGGCGGAGAAGGCGCGGGACCGAGAGTTGTCAAAGGTCCGGTCCCGATCCGGGGACAGGCCACGCCCCCTGCCTTCCCCCTGCTCCGCTCCCGGTGGCTTCCAGAGCGGCCACCTGAGCCCGTCTCTCCCGGCGTCTGCCGCCCTGCCCTCTGCCCAGCTCCCACTCCCCCAAACTCCCACAGCAGAGGTGGAAGCCAAGGCCAACGGCGGGCTGCCCCGACCAAGCTTCCCACGTTAATGAGTTCGTCCCGACTTGAGCTCGAACCCCAAGGTGCCTGTTCCCCCTCCTTCCCCCTCAAATGGCCCAGGGTCTGGAAAGAGCGGGCACAGTGGGCTGGGGTGAAGACAGAACTCACCTAGAGCCACCCAGCCGGGGACACTGTTTCTTCACTCTCTCCCCGCCATCTTGAGAGGACGTCACCACGCCCAGCTCCGCCTTTCCCTTCTTCCTCCACGACGACGTCACATCCGGGTCCGGGAGCCCCTTGGCAACCCCGGAGGCTTTAGGACCGTGGAGGCCCCACACCAGCCGGGGCTGAACTGGCCGGTCCACACCCCCGCTTCACGCCGACACCTTACATGCCAGGGCCCCCCTCCCCAAAATAGCGAGCGTCAAAGACAGGAGACCCCAGGGATCGCTCGCAGCGCCCCGCCTGCGTCCTCATTCTCAGCGCCTGGTCGGCCAACCGTCCGGGTCTCGCGCTCGGGCCGCGGCCGGTCAGAGCCGCTCCGCAGGCCGCTTTCTGGCAGCCAAAGTGCGCACTGCATGCTGGGGCTTGTAGTTGCTTGTCTTCTCCCATCATCCTTTCCTTCCTCGGGAAAAACTGCTTTGTGTACTGGGCTGTCGGCTGTGGGGAGTTTTTTTTGAGCTGAGACCGATGACCCCTTTGCCGTGTACATACCCGAAAGCTCTTGGGACCTCCTGGGTTTTGTTTGCATCAGCCAACTGTAGCCCACTTCCCACGACGCCCTTACCAGGCACAGAAGTCTGACGCGCGAAAGCCGAGCAAGGATGTAGGGCGCACTGGGCATGCGCAGCATTGGAGGAAGGTGGGCGTTATACCGGAAAAGGTTCCGAGTCGGGGCTAAAAATATTTTAATGCAATTGTTTACGTCGCATTCGGATTTTTGTATGGTGAAGGAAAGGGATGCCAGCTTGCATAATATACAAGGAGCGCGGAAACATTAAGATAAATCGTGTTGTGTTGGGGTGGATTCTTTCCTAGTACCCGCAGACATCCTAAGTCTCAGGAAACCAAAACTTCAACATTTTTGATTGTTAAAAGTTGTGTCGGGACCATAGGAAATTTACTCGCAACTTTATTTTTAAAGGGCAGCCTCAACTGAACTAATTCGTTGCTTCTCTCTGAAGAGTTTCCCAACCAGATTCTGTTTTCTGTTTTTATAACGTCTGTATACTCAGAAGTCTGTGCATAAAAATACAGCCATTATGTTTATAAAGAAAAATGTTGAGGCTGATTCTTTCTTGATTTTGTTACTAAACTCAAGGGTTTCGCTGCTTGGGGTGCTGTATTAAAACAAGAGGTGATTGTTGCAAGGTAGTTTTATTTACTTGCAGCAAGTAAAAGAGATGGGGATTCATGGCCAAAGCTGTCTCCCAGGAGAGAGGCTTAGCCATTGCTATTTGGTCAGGTACACAACTGCTTTCTTCCTTACAGTTGGCTACATTTATCTAATCTAGTTCCTGCCGACCTCATCCTGTTTACAGTTGGTATGTAAAATACTGTGCTACATGTTAACATTTAGCAAGAGTAACGTTTAGTAAGAATGACCCAGACCTTGAGACCCTTGTCCCAACAATTTTATCTTTCTGAGTATACTTTTTTTCTCATTTCACTTTTTTGTCGGAACACTTTTTGATGATTTATTAATTCAGAAATATTTATGAGTCTCTCCTTGGTGCCAAGCATGACACTAGTATAAAGAATAAGAATAAAGCATGGTCTCTGGGGAAAATTAATGGAAAACCTAATGACATAATAGAGTGTTCAGGAGGTCACAGGGCTAAGAGTTTTCACACTGATTTCCCTGCTAGGCTGTACATTACATTATTTTCCCAGTATCAATCAGGTTGTGAGTTGAAGTAAAAAAAAAAAAAAAAAAAAAAAAAACCTTAATCAATCAATAAAAATTAAAAAAATAAGGAAAATTAAGTTTGGAGCCCTTCCTGCACATGGCACGCCATGAATAAAAACATTTGGTAAACAAATGAAATAATACCCAAACCGAAAGTTGAATTTCCGAAGGGTGTCCAAGTTACTGTCTTTAAAGAAAAAACCAGGCATATTAATTTTAGGATAAAAGGGTTGTTTCCGCCCGGTTTCGAACCGGGGACCTTTCGCGTGTTAGGCGAACGTGATAACCACTACACTACGGAAACCTGGGTGGTGGGAGGGCTTCTGAAAACCCTAGATATAGACATTGTAATTTGTGGGTCACTTACTCTTAACTAAGTAAGATTAATGTAACTTCTAATTGAAAGAAGAAAATAAAACCAGAAAGAGGAAAATAACTATGTTGAACAATGCTATTATTTCAAAAATTAGAATTTGGTGCACTTTTTTTAAAAGCTCTCTCTCCCCCGCGGCCGCGGTACCCGCTAGTTGCCCTTCTCTTGGGTACACTTTCTTCTATGAGAAACAAGGGTTTATTATGCATCTTTTCCCAGCGTGGCGTTGCTGAGAGTGCCAGGCGAGTTTGGGGGGCTTAGCTGGAACGGCGCGTCCTCGCGGATCCCAGAGTCCCCGATCCCGCAGGCTCCCCTCACCAAACCCCAATGCAGGGATTTAGCCAGTGAGAAAGAAACTCTTCCAAGCCCCTAGTGGAGGGACGTGTAATAGCGTTTGAATTTCCTCCCTTGCTTCCGTACACCACAGCTTTTACTAGTAAATTGCGTGCTTACAGGTGTGCAAAATTGGGGGTGGGACTCAGATACCCAAATGCACTTTTTTGGCACGCAAGGTACTTAAATGCTTCCTTCTAAGCCCGAGTGAGCTTCATATGACTGAAGGACTATCACTTTTCCTGCAAAGAGACAGACACACCCTTAGGCCTAAAAATCCAGACTATTTCAGAGTAAGAATTACTACTAGCTTCCATATTACCCAGGGAGATAACCTGATGAGATTGTGAGATTCTACCATTTTGGTTTTGAGTGCATTGTGCTTACAAACCACACAAAAGAAACACAACCATTGCCCAGTATATAGAAACAATAAGAAAAGTTTTTATTTTTTTAATTTTATTTTATTGTTTAAAGGATTACAAGTAGTAGTACATATGTCTCCTTACCCCCCCCCCGGCCCAATTGACCTTACCCCGGCCTCCCCTACCCCCCGGCACATGCAATAATAAAAGTTTTTAAAACCCACTTAGGCTTTTTTTTCCCTTTTCTCTTTTGCTCAATTTCTCCACCCCTTCCCCGGCTCCCTCCTGACAGCTATCAGACTGCTCCTCTATGAATGAGTCTGTCTCTATTTTGCTTGCTAGTTCTTTCTGTTCATTAGATTCCACATGAGTGAAATTGTATGTTAAAACCCACTTTAAATCTTTATTGACTTGAGAGAGGGGAAGGGGACATAGATTTGTTGTTCCATTTACTTATGCATTTATTGGTTGATTCTTGTACTCGTATATGTCGGGACCTGGAATCGAACCCGCTACGTTGGAGTATCGGTTGGACACTATAACCAACTGAGAGCTCCCAGCCAGGGCTTGCTTTAAATCCTAGCATTTTTCCTCCTCCTCTTTTCAGGAGTTGTCTGGGTTCCAAAAGCAGGAACCCTGCCCCCACTGCTGGGACGACCTTCCCCTGTCTAATCTCTCCACCTTTCCCCAGAGCTTTCCCCAAGCCCCTGGACAGACACTTACTAACTAGAATTCAATGGTCTGGGGAAAGAAAACGTTTTCTAGCTATTCGAGGTATTCGAGAAAACCACTTGTGAGGGGTCAGATTGTATTTTCGGGGAGGAAAATGGGGTTTTCCTGATAACGGTGATCCGGGATTCCAGGGGTGAGGGAGAGAAGCCGCGGCGACAGCGGTAACTTGGAGCTCTCTGTGCGTCCGGAGAGTCTGTGGGTCCGGGATGTGCCTGCCCAGACGCTGCGGGACCTTGCGGGCCTCGGGCTCTGCGGGACCTTGCGGGGCGTTTGTGACGCGGCGTTCCAGGCCCTCCGCTCGCACGCATCACTGGGAGCTGGGAGGGAGGGCAGGGGCCGCGCCCCGCACCGGGCGTCCTCCTGGCCGCGGGCCGCAGCCAGGACCGCCGCGCCGGCCAGGAGGCCCGAGGCGGTGGCGGCGCGGGCGGCATGAGCAGCTACCAGCTCCCGGTGGTGATCGACAACGGCTCGGGAGTGATCAAGGCGGGCCTGGCTGGGTCCCGGGAGCCGCAGTTGATGTACCCGAACATTATCGGCCGTGTCAAAGGCCAGAGCTGGGCCCAGGGCGTGCAGGAGCTGTGCGTGGGTGACCAGGCGCAGAACCACAGAAGCTCGCTGTTCATCAGGTACCGCCTTCTCCTGGCGGGCAGGACCCGCGGGGAGGGGGCGGAGGGGGAGCCCAGATGAGGTGCTCAGAGGGTGAGAGAAAAGGTGAGGAAGCCAGGAGAGCCGCAGCTCGCCGGCCTTATTGGAAATGCACGGGCCACAGCCCTCCCGGGATACGAAGCATCTAATGAGTGAATATTACTTGCTCTCTGGATCTGTACAGATGCACGCAAACATATACATTTAAGTTGCACTCATAAAATGCAAGTTCACTTAAGCATGTTACTTAATTCATGGTACCTTTGTCGTTTGGGTGGTTGTTTCAAATTAATTGGTAATAAAATTGTACTGTTAGGTGAACATCCCCCTCCCCCCCCACTTTTGTAACTCACAAGGGGTTTTCCCAAGTGGATGTGGGGAACGGAAAGCAACAGAAATTGCAGAGGAAAGTAGTTGTTCTCCTTTTGCTGGTAGTTACCTTCTCTGAGAAACCCTGGCAGTCACTGCCCATAAAGGGATCCTAGCGATACATATGGGCATTAACCCAGGTTGGAAGGGTAGACACTGCCATTGATGCTATTGTTCTTTCTACAGCTACCCAGTGGAGCGTGGTCTCATTACTTCCTGGGGGGACATGGAGATCATGTGGAAGCATATCTATGACCATAGCCTGAAGCTAAAGCCCTGCGATCACCCGGTTTTGATTACTGAGCCAGCACTGAACCCACTCGCCAACCGGCAACAGATCACTGAAATATTTTTTGAGCATCTGGGGGTTCCTGCCTTCTATATGTCCATCCAGGGGGTGCTGGCTCTCTTTGCTACTGGCTTCACCACTGGCTTTGTGATGACCTCGGGGGCTGGGGTGACTCAGTGTGTGCCCATTTTTGAAGGTTACTGTTTGCCTCATGGTGTCCAGCAGCTACATCTGGGGGGCTTTGACCTCACCAACTACCTCATGAGTCTGTTGAAGGACCATGGCATCATACTGCTTAGTGCTACCGACAGAAGGATTGTCACAGAAATTAAGGAAACCTCTTGTTACGTGGCCATGAACTATGAAGAGGAAATGGCCAAGGAATGTGGTAGTATGGAGAAAGTTTACCAGCTACCTGACGGGAAGGTGATCAAGCTCTACGACCAGCTCTTTAAATGTCCAGAGGCCCTCTTTTGTCCCTCTCTCATGAACCTCGAGACGATGGGCATTGATAAGATGTGCTTCAGCAGCATAATGAAATGCGATAAAGATCTGAGGAATTCCCTTTTCTCCAATATTATCCTTGCTGGGGGATCAACCTTGTTCCCCAACTTAGACAAGCGGCTCATTAAAGAAATAGCAAATATGGCGCCTCCCAATACCCCTGTGCAGGTCAGAGCTCCCCCAGAACGGAAAATATCCGTGTGGATGGGAGGCTCTATTCTTGCATCCCTGTCTGCCTTCCAGGATGTGTGGATCACTGCTGCGGAGTTTAAAGAAGTAGGTCCC